TGAGTAGGCCTGACAGCCCACACTCGCGGCTAGGTGGAGCCAAGACAGTCTGGTCACCCACACAGAATGGCCCAGATGACACGGCCACCCACACACTCCAATAGGGTGAAACTGAACCAGACTGCCCACCCGTGCACGGTAGTACCCATGGTCAGCCTGCGATCATCATCACCCAGGGACTGTCAAGACCTGGCTGCCATCCTCAGCAGCATTAGGACTCTGTGAAGTCCACAGATTTCAGAAAATAAACTAGAGGACACTGGTGTAAAGCTGTTGTGTGCAGCTGTGAAACCTCCCAACTGCCTCTCAGAGACTCTTGGGTTGGAGGCCTGTGAGCTAACGCTGCCTGCTGTGAGGACCAGCTTCTGCTTTTACCCACAGTGAAACCCCGAGTGAGGGGAGTCACCCTGTTGGAGAACACCTTGGTTGGTCCACAGTGGGGTCACTGTGCTGAGTAAGATCTGGAAACAGCCAAAGTGTAACCTGCGTGTAAGGACTACAAACAACTAACTTTGATGAAGAAAACCATTTCTGATCTCTGAGAAAAAGAGAAATCTATACTTGACATTCCTAAGCAGTGTAAGAGAATCAGAAATTAAGAGTAAAAAATCCATTCCAGCCGGGCATGGTGGTGCACGCCTTTAATCCCAGCACTTGGAAGGCAGAGGCAGGCCAATCTATGTGAGTTCAAGGCCAGCCTGCTGGTCTACATAGCGAGTTCCAGGCCAGCTGGAGCTACAGGGAGACCCTGTCTCAAAAGGACAAAAGAAAAAAGATCCATTCCAAGAAACATGGGTATATTCTGACCCAAAACCACGTAGAGAGGAAAGGGAGAACTCTTTTTGGCACATCTGAGTGTAAGAATTATAGATCACTGACACGCTAAGGAGCTATGACTTCTTTGGAACCCAGATCAGATGTGTTATATGAATGGATGGGGGTTTCTGTCACAAAAGACACAAAGTTGGGGGTAGCGGGTAGGAGAGTGAGGGGTGGTAGGGTGAAGGTAGAGATGGGGGAGAAGGTCTAAATGTAATCAAAATTCATTGTATGAAATGCCAATCAAAATTTCTCTTAAACAATAGAGAAAGAAAGAAAGAAAGAAAGAAAGAAAGAAAGAAAGAAAGAAAGAAAGAAAGGAAAGAAGGAAGGAAGGAAGGAAGGAAGGAAGGAAGGAAGGAAGGAAGGAAGGAAGGAGGAAGGAAGGAAGGAAGGAAGGAAGAAAATAACACCAAGAACCTGACAGAGTCCTTGAGGACTCTCAAACATCCCTCTGAAACATCACAAGCCCAGGCCTCCAACAGCTGCATTTCTCTATGCAAAATCCCACCAACAGCCCATTAAGCTCTAAGCAATTTATTGGCTTTTCCAACCCAAAATTCCAAAAGCTTTCACAATCAAAAAAAAAAAAAAAAAAAAGGCCATAGTCAGGCCCATCATAGCGATACCCCACTCTCTGGTACCAATTTTTGTCCTCATTTACTTTCTCTTGCTGTGATAAAACACAGGCCGTGGAGAACCTGGGAGGAAAGGGTTTATTTGACTTAGAGTTTACAGTCCCTCTTTGAAGCCAGGGCAACACAGAGGCAGGAACTGAGGCAGAGACCATAAAGGGAGGTCGCTTACTGGGTTGCTTCTCCTGGCTCACTCAGCTACCTCTTCCTAAAAATTTTTGGATTTATTTTTATGTAATGTGTATGAAATATGTATATAAGTGCACCACATGCATGTAATGATCATGTAGGCCAGAAAAAGGTGTCAGATTCCCTGGAACTGAAGTTACAGACAGTTGTGAGCTGCCATGTGGGTGCTGGGAACTAAACCTGGGTCTTCTGCCAGAGCAACCAGTGCTCTTAACCACTGAGCCGTCTCTCCAGCCCCTCAGCTATCTTTCTTATACAGCCCAAGCCCACCTGTCCAGGGATGGCACTGCCCACAGTAGGCTGGACCCTCCCACATCAATTAAGAATTAAGAAAATGTCTCACACAGGACTGGAGAGATGGCCCAGTGGTTAAGAGCACTGGCTGTTCTTGCAGAGGACCTGAGTTTGGGTCCCAGTACCCACAGCGTGGCTAACAACTATCCGTAACTCCAATTCCAGGGAATCTGACACCTTCTTCTGACCTCCATGAGCATTGCATGACACAAGGGCACTTACACACATGCAGGCAATACACTCATACACAAAAATAAAAGTAATAAAAAAATATTTTTCAAAAAAGGAAATGTCTCAGAAATGTCCACCAGCCAGTCTGAATAAAATTCCTCAGTTGAGGCTCCCTCTTCCTAGGTGATTCTAGTTTGTGTCAAGTTGACAAAAATGAACCAGCCCAGTCTCACTATGTAGCCCTGACTGGCCTGGAACTCGATATATAGACCAGGTTGGCCTTGAACTCACAGAGATCTGCCTGCCTCTGCCTCTTGAGTGCTAGAGTCAAAGGCATTCGTCACCATACCCAGCCTGAGATTCTTTATTTTAAATGTGTATGAGTGTATTGCCTGCACGAATGTAAGTGCACTACTTTAATGCAATGCCCATGGAGGCCAGAAGAGGGCATCAGATGCCCTGGAGTTATGAAGGGTTGTTAGCCACCGTGTGGGTGCTAGGAACCAAACCCAGATCCTTTTCAAGAGCAGCCAGTGCTCAGAGCTGAGCCATCTTGCCTCCATTGGCCTGAGATGATGATGATGATTGGACTTTTTGGTCTCCCTGTACCCTCAGCTGGCCTGGGACTTGCTATGTAGACCAGGCTGACCTTGAACTCACAGAGATCCACCTACCTCTGCCTCCCAAGTGCTAGGATTAAAGGCGTGCATCACCACACCCAGCTTTGGCCTGGGATTCTTAATTCAAAGTATTACATGAATGGCCTGATAGTCTTTGAGGGACTCTCAAACTTCCTTCTAAAATTTCACAAGCTAAACCTCCATCCTCTGGATTTCTCTCAGCATTATTTTACAAGTTCCCATAACAGCTCATTAAGCTCTGCATCTTCAATGGCTCCTCCAGCCCAATGTTCCAAAAGTATCCACAACCCTCCCATGAAGGCATGGTCAAGTCTATCATAGCAATACCCTACTGCCGGTACCAATTTCTATCCCTAATTTGCTTTCTGTCACAATGATAAAACATGAAGCATATAGGTATGTTACAGTCCAGCATCAAGGGATGCCAGAGCAGAAGTTCAAAGCAGAACCTGGAGTCAGGAACCGAAGCAGAGACCATGGAGGAACACTGCTTACTGACTTGCTTCCCCTGGCCTGCTCAGCTACCTTTCTAAAACAGCTCAGGCCCACCTGCCCAGGGATGGCACCACCCACAGCAGGCTGGGCCCTCCTCCATCAATTAGCAATCAAGAAAATGTCTCACAGACACACCAGCAGGCCAGTCTGATGGAAGCAATTCCCCAGCTTTGGTTCCCTCTTCCCGGGTGTGTTTAGGTTTGTGTCACTTTGAAAGTAACTATGACAGATGGTGAATGGAGAATCTAGGTAGCACCTCTCTCCTCAGGGAGGCTCTGGGATCCCGAACCCCAGCACACCCCAGTCACAGTGACTTATCTGGTCTTGTGGCCATGCTCTTGCCCTCTCTGCCTGTCTTCATGCCTACACACCCTTAAGTCCCAGAGCCATCAGATGTTCTGTTGCCTGAGCTTACCTCTAAACCCTGCCACACTGTTCCGGGCTGTCCTCACCCCCTTCCTGCACAGGAGGGATCTGTGCTCCCCTTAGAACCAGCTGAGGAGCCATCTTTGGCTGAGAAGCGTCCTGCCAGTCTTGTCCCCCGTGGAATTCAGTCCTTCTCGCAGCTGCCTGGTGTCTTGCTGGCAACACTGTGACTTTTTTAATCTCCTGAGGGTTATGGGGTGCATTTGTTGCATGGCCAAGTGAGTGGCAGTTCCCCCACTGGTCCCCAGACAAAGCTGCTCCCAGCTGCAGGAGGAAGCTCCAGGTTCTAAGGTTCCGGTTGCTTCTCCCTCTCCAGCCAGAAGAGCGATCTTCCCACACTCCCTCACAACCAGGAAGTGCCCTGCCCCTCCTGAGTCTGTGGAGAACTAGCAGTAACACTGAGATCATTCCCGTCGTGCCTGTGCCCCCTACTTGCAAGCTCGATTTGTGGGTGAGTAACTTGCCCCTTCTTGCCTACGGGAGCACCAGAGACCCTTCCCCTTCACCAGGGCTGGGGCAGTCTCAGAAACTAACCCTCCAAGCTCTGCCCCCCAGAACCCCAGAGTCAATAGTTGTCATCTGCCTGACAGGGACCCTCCTCCACCTCTGCCCCATGGCGCTCACAGCAACAGGATCTCCAGTCTTGTCCCAGGAGTCCTGAGATTCTTGTGCCCCCCAACTCCTCCGTTTCCCAGGTCAGCCTTCCTTTCACCCCTCCAGCAAGCCCTGGCTGGCCGGGCCACCTCCTCCCACCCTTAGGGAGCCCGTGGTGGGTTACCGAAGATGAACTTGCCAGGGGTCTGCCCTGGGCACACCCGGAACTCATCCCCTCACTCCGTTTTCACCGGAATCTTCAAATCTGCACCTGGGAACTCCCTTCCAACTCCAACGGCCCAGTCCTTAGATGCAGGTTTGGGGGCTCGACCTGAACTGGGCACCCCTGGGCTCCCCATGTCTGCACCACCCAGCTGCACCCCTCCGGCTTCTGCTCTACTGAACTGCTGTGAGCACACCGCCGAGCACACCTGCGCAGCCAGGAGTGTGGGGACACGGTGGGCCTGGAGAAAACGTGACACGTGCCCAAACCTTGCTCCCGGCAGTGCTCCCGCCGCGCCTCCTCCCGCCTCTGCTCTCCCTGTGCCCTCTGGGTCTTAACCCGCCCCCGGCTTCCTCCGCTCCTTCCCTCCCCAGCCCGAAAACGGCACCCAGAGCTGCGCGACGGGTCGGAGTCCCAGAACCAGGGCCCAGGGCAGGATAAAAGCCGGGAAACGACGGGACACGCCCCAACCCGGCTGGGGAGGGCGGTGGGGCGGGGCAGCAGGAGGCAGGTCCGGAGCAGCCAGCGAGCGCGTAGCGGCTCCGCAGCGGGGTGCGCCCAAATCCCGGGGTGGGCGGGGCTGGTCGCCGCGGAAAGGGAGGTGCCACCGAGCACCCGACGGGGCTAACCCACCGGGAGCACCGAGCTCGCCCAGCGAAGGCAGGTACCCCGACTCACCCCCGCGGGGTGCACCCTGAGCCTCTGCGCAGCGAGGTGCCCCGACGTGCGAGTAGGGCAGCCGCTCCCTAGACTGGCTCCCCCGGGATGGGCATCGCAGCAGGAGCAGCTCAGGGACCACCCCCCACGATACCACCTCGTCCCGCCCCACCCGGGTTGGCTCTTGGGGTGAAGGCTGCCCTGGGGCCCCAACTGTGGAGCCAGGTGTCAGCTGCCAATACTTTGAAAGGGGCTCGGCAGCAGCCGCAAAATCCTGTTCCCACCTGTGGAAGGAGAGGGAGGGGGAAGGAAAGCCCTTTTGTGAGTGAGGCCAAGCTGTCTTGCAAAGGGGGAGGGGCTGCCTCGACACTGCAGAATCTCTTTCACCTTCCCAGGGGTTGGAGGTAGGCACTAAAGGAGGAAAGGCACCCTACTGGACCAAGGGGACCCCTGGGTAGTGACAGAAGGCAGGTCTGAGTAGCAACAGAAACCCTGCAGCCTGGTTTCCCTGTAGAAATGAGGCACGGGGCCTTCCTGTGTAAGACAATGAGCTGGATTCTCCTACCAGGTGGGGGTGCCTCTGTGTCCCCACCTACTGCACGCTACACTTCAGACCAGGAGCTGGAAGATGGGAGGGGGACACTGGGGACAAGACACCCTACCAGGACACCCATTGGGGTGTCTGGAGAACCCTAATGCAGTCTGCCTCTCCTCTCTCTCCCCTGAAGGCCGAGGTCGCTCCCTCCAGCTCAGTGAGTCAGCACTAGGCAGAACCAGAATCAACAGGACCTTTGCCCCTTGCCCGCTCCAAAGATTGTCCAGCACACCCTCTGCCAAGGATGTCTGTCCAGAACCCTGGCAACATGGGTGCTCTGGGCCGGCGGGGAGTCATCGCCCTCACCTATGTGCTGGCCACCCTGGAGCTCACTTGCCTCTTCATGCAGTTCTCCATTATACCAGTGAGTAACACCCACATCTCACAGCAGCCCCCCTCCCCCGTACTGTCCTGCTGAGCAGTGGCAGGGTACAAGGTGGGTCTTGATGCTGCCAGGGCAGGGCCCCTCCAGCTAGGTTTACGTTAAAGGACCTAGGGACTGAGTCCACTGACACCCCCCACCCCCACCCCCACCAGGGAGCTACCCTCTCTGTCCTCCTGAGGCAACCCCCCTCCACATGACCCCCTTTGCTCTCTGTTCCTCCGTCTCTGGGGTTGGGGGAGGTGGGAGCTATGCCCGGCACCTGTGTGGTCCCACCCTTGTCTAGCACCCTAGTATCACTTCTTTTCTATCCCCTTGTCCCCTTGGATGTTCCCCCAGTTTCCTTATGTCCACATCTGACACTATGTTTCCATTCCCAGTCATTTCCTTCCCACCCACCAAAATGTGAGGGCAGGGACTTGATCCCACAGGCTCCCTGAACTCCACATGGCTCAGAGCCTAGGGGGAGGATAGTCCCCATCGGCTCCAGGGTGTTCAGGGTGCCCACCCACTGCCTTTGGTTCATTCTTACTTTTTACTATTGTTTAGTCATTCAACAGCTCTTTACGGAACTGGCCCACAGGGTCCCGAACAGCACGGCAGCATGCTGACATTGTGTGCGACCATCCCCTCTGTCTAATCTGGATGGGACTGTGACACTGGCCATAGGCCACCTTTAAACCCTAGAGACTCTCAAGACCCCAGCTGGCTGGAGTTTGGGGCTGGGGTAGGCCCCATGTGGGGCTTGGGGCCCATTCATCACGTAGACCTGACCCGCAGTGTGGTCAGCAGGCCAGGCTGGGCAGAAGTGGGGTACCCAGGTACCTCACACAGGGTCTTGCTTGAAGCTAGATCTGTGCTCACATTACACTCCAAAGTCCAACTGGGCCTTGGGGACACCTGGGAACAGGCACGACCAGAAAGCATAGGCCAAGTCCAGGCCACCACCGAGGGCCTCCACTCATCTACCCCTAGAGCCCAGCTGGACAAAGCTGGCTCTGTCCCCAGCCTGGGGACTTGGAGTAGAGGCAGCCCTGGTCCTTGCCACCAGTCCTGGAATAGTAGGGGCTCCCAGCCCAGGACCCCATCACCCTTCCTAAGTGCAGCTCTGCCCACCCATAGATACCTGGGGTCCCCACCCCGAGGCTTTCTTTTGCAATATGGGACAGGCATCTCACTTTCCTCATAGGACCATGCCCGGCCCTCCCTTGAAATGTTGGCATGGGGTGGAGACTGCTTTGCCCTCTGAACAGCCTGCAGGAACCAGGAGCGGCTCCCAGGGAGAGGCAAGCGGTTGTTCACTTGGTCCTCAATGAGCCTGTGAGCAGACCGAGACACAGTGGGGCACCAGAACCAGACAGCCTGGCCCTCAGGTCTGGCAGCTGGCAGTGTCTGAAGACTGATGGCTGTCACAGGAAACATAAAGTGTTACACTGTGTGACTCAGGTGCTCAAGAGGTTCCTGGATGGTTAGGGGGGCTGTGGAGAGGTGAGAAGGGGCCAAAGCTGACGTGCTGCTGATGGGCCGCGTGTCGGAGATGAGGAAAACAGTCTCAGGGCTGACGCTGAGGCTTTGGGCCCAGCCCTGAGCGGCGACAGTGAGAGGCGATGATAGAGGAACCGCCTTGAGGAGGATGGGTGCCCAGGTCTGGCCATGCTGTGCTGGGGATGAGGCAGAGCAAGGGAGGGACTCGCTGGCAGTGGGGACAGAGGTCTGGAGCTCTACAGCGTGAAGGTGGCCACAGTGGGTGCCCCAGGAGTGAAAGGAGGCTGGCAGAGACCATTGGCAAGGCGGACATACAGGAAAAGTCCAAGGGGCAGGTCACAGAGGAGGAAGCCAGCCACTGAGGCAGGTGCCACTCAAGTGGGGGCCCACTGAAGCCCCCCCCACAAATGGCTTCTGGAGGAGGAGGAGGGAGAGGAGAACCTGCTTCAAGAGGGGTTGGGAGAGGGTTAGAAGGGAGCATATTGGGGGCAATCCCAGCAGAGTGGCCATGCTGGAATGAGGGCCCCCAGGAGGTCCTCAAGAGAGGAGAGAGGAGCTTAAGGAGGCTTGTCCTTAAGAGACAGTGGCTCAGACCTCTTTGAGAGAAGTGGGGAGGATAAGATGGGCCCTGGGGCCCCAGAGTTCCTACGTTCCCCTTCAGGGACACGGTCACCTCCCTACTCCAAGTCTCTGAGTCTTGGGGACCTCATAGAGCAGACTATCCTACTAGGCTAAATATGTCACATCCCAGAGGTCATTAAGGGAGGGGCTCTGGGACAATCCCTTGCTGGACAAGAAAATACTACAATGCTTTGAATAAAGAAAATATTGAGGAGGACTGGAGAGATGGATCCGCCCTTAAGAGTACTGAGTGCTCTTGCAGAGGACCCAGGTTCAAATCCTAGCACCCACATGGTGTCTCACAACTGTCCATAATTCCAGTTCCAGGGGATCTAACGCCCTGTTCTGACATCTGTGGCCACTGCACAACACAGATGCATTTATGTACACGCAGGCAAAACACCCATCCATGTAAGATAAAGTAGAATAAATCAAAAATATTTTTAAAGAAAATATTGAGGGAAGCTGTCTCTCTGTAGCCCTTGAAGTATGCCTTGCAGAAGGGGAGGGACAGAGCCTTGACTAGGGACCTCAATAGGCTCCTGTCTGAGGGGGAAGGTTAGGGTGGAGGGTCAGGGTCTCCAGGGAAGGCCTCCTGCCCCATGGTACTACCTTCTGCCCCCTCCCACCCACACCCATCTGAGAACCCCAGACTCAGAGCCTGCCTCTGTTTCAGTATCTGTCTCGGACACTGGGCCTAGATTCCATCACCTTTGGCTACCTGCAGACGACCTTTGGTTTGCTTCAGCTGCTGGGTGGACCTGTGTTTGGCAGGTACGGTATACAAAAGGTGCAGGTCCCTCAACATACAATGCTTATGGCCACCTCTCAGAGGCCATGGACTGGGTCCTGATGCCCCCCCCCCGCCCTGCCCCAGTTCACACTGGACCCCACCAGGCATCCCTATTCCATGGACATACAGATGAAGGAGCCGTCTAGCCCTGATAGGTTCCCAGATAGGCTCCCTAACCCTAACCCTAACCTATCAGTGACATCCTGAACTCTGGCTGCTGGCCCTATAGAGGATTTCTTTGACCCAGGCTCCCACGCCCAGGACAAGCAAAGCCCCGCCCTCTTGCCTCACTGAAAAGGCCATTCCTGGGGACAGGGTAATGAGGGAATTGAGGCCAGAGAAGTGGAAAGCCAGCTCTGGGTGGCCCTTCACCAACGCCCCAGCATCCCATCAGCCCCCTGTGGAAGTGAGGGAAAGTCCTGCTTGCCAGAGGTTAGCCATTGATGCACTCTGCGGACCCCACCCAGGTTCGCAGACCAGCGTGGGGCTCGGGTGGCGCTCTCCCTCTCCTTCCTGGCGGCCTCAGCACTCTACCTGCTGCTGGCGGCCTCCTGCAGCCCTGCCCTGCCCGGCCCCCTCCTGCTGTTCGCTTCACGTCTGCCCGCAGCACTCATGCACACACTTCCAGGTAGGGACTGGAGGGGGCTGGGGAGACACGTAGATCTAGGGGTGAGACGTGGTCCAAGAGCTGGATGGAGGCAGAGGGGTGAATGGGGTGTGGCTTCAGGTAGCTGCCAGGTGTCCTTAGAGGGAGAGTTCTGGGAGTCCTGGCCTTAGGATAGAGGGATGGAGGATGAAGGATGAAGGATAAAGGGAATGAGGGATGAGGGATGGAGTGGAGCACGTGGTCTGTGGGGGCACAGCCTAGGTGGAAAGAGTTGAGGGCCGGTAGCTTGTGGTGAGGGGCATGGTCTCAGTGGAGAGCTGTGGGAGCGTGGCCAGGACCCCTGGTCTTCTCTCCACAATGAGGACACCCCCACTTCCATCCAGCTCAGCCCCTGTCCTACCCACAGCTGCCCAGATGGTCATCACCGACCTGACTGGGCCCACGGAGCGGCCCAAGGCCCTGGGCCGGCTGGGCCTCTGCTTCGGTGTGGCCATGATCTTTGGCTCCCTGCTTGGCGGGACCCTTAGTACTGCTTATGGGTGAGTGATGGGCAAAGACCCAGGTGGGCAAGATGGGAGGGGCACTGGCCAAGATGGTGGTGGCTGCATCAGTTGGGCTTCTCTCTCCACTCAGGCCATCAGCCCAGTATTACCTAACCTTTCTGAGACTTTGTTCCTCATCTGCATGTCAATCAGTTTGGGGACCAACCTGCTGGATGGCCAGGGCCTCGAGGCAGCATGGCCATCAGGGGACACTATGACCACCAGAGGCACAAGGGGGTGGGCATGGAACTGCCTTTCCTATCCAGGGAGGAAGAGCTGGAAAGGTGCCTCTGACACCAGTGTGTGGTCTGGGCACTCCTGACGTTCAAATCTACTGTTAGGAACTTGTGTCTGGTCCCTTTCCAACTATCCTAGAGTCTCTAGGAGTGGCTGTACCCTAGGGACCAGGTGTGGTAAGTGTCCCTTTGAGTAAGGGGGAAGAGGGGATCCCTGGGTATGCTGCCAGGCTTGTGTGCCTCAGTTTCCTCAGTCATGTATCTGAGTTCTGACAGTGGCTTGCAAGTCACATGTATTTACTTAAAGCCGCTCCCAAGTCCCCAGCTCTCTGTCCCAGAATTCTTCGCAGGCCCAGTTCTGGGGCCTCTGTACCTGTTCCCCTGAGAGACCCCTAGCACATGATTTCTAGGATGCTAGGCTCTCCTGCCTGTCTCCTGCAGTGGTATGGGCCCAGCCATTTTTACCAGCAGCTTTGAGCTCCTCTTGAGAGAAGAGCTTAAGCTTCAACTTAGCCTGGGAACGGCAGGAGGCCATGGAGGGATGGATGTGAAGGCCTGAGGGGGTGGGGCTGGGGTAGGGCCTGGTCTTAGAGTTGGATGAGAACAGAGGGTTAAAATGGAGCATGGCTCAGGTAGCTGGCAGGTATAGGGACTGTAAAAGCAAATGTGAGTCCTGACCTCAGGGTGGAGGCATGGAGGGATGGAGGCATGGAGGGATGGAGGCATGGAGGGATGAAGCATGGAGAGCCTGGTTAGGATCAAGAGTGCAGAGAGCTGTGGGGTGTGGCCGTTCTCCATGCAGCGCCATCCCCTGACTCCTTCCACCAAAACTCCTGCATCACTCAGGGTCAGCTCCATCCTAAGAGCCAGTGCCTGCCCTCTCATTTAGGCCCAAGACTCACATACAGTCAGCTGCTGTTCTGGGGCAGGGGCCTCATTGGCAGGGGGAGCCTGTCTGTGTCCTCAGGATCCACCCAACTCTCTGCAGGCTCTCTCCTGAGATGGACCCTTTCTGGCCTCTGCTTCCCCATGCTTTCGGGATACCACTTTTGGGGGGCATACCTCTTGTCACCTCCAGGCTCTCTGATCTTAGACAAACAATGTGAATCTTGGGTTTCTCCTGGTTTTGATTTCCTCCTCAAATCAGGCCCTTCTGAGGGTCTGTAGTCCAGGATCCCCAAGATTTTCCAGACCAACCCCAATAATGGTGGAGGCATCTGGTGGGTGATGACTGAGCTCAGCGATCCAGGCATGGGCTGACCACAGCTCTGCTTCAGCACCACACCTTGACAGGAGGGACTCCGGAGATGCATAGAAGGGCTCAGTGACCTGGCCCTGGGCATCTTCCCGGTGCTTGCTTGAGAACCTGAGCTTGTCTGCCCATTGGTGTTTATTGAGCATTCTAGAGTCTCAGGTATGATGGGGAACAAGACAGACCAAATCCCCAGAATGCTGTAAGGTCAGATTGCACTATATGGCATGCAGAGAAGCCAGGATCGGGGGAGGGGATGGAGAGGTGATCATCAGGGATTCTGAGCAGGTGACCTGTGAGTAGAGAAATCTAATGCACATGAGGAAGGAGGCACAGAAAGAGCATGTGGCAAGGCCCTGGGGTTCAGGAAGTGAGGTCAAGTGGCTACAGGGGCCAGAGGAAGGGTGAGAGTCTTGTCATGGGGCAGAGAAGGGGAGATGAGCACTCCACAGGAAGATGGGGAGGGACAGCTGTACGCCATCCAATTGGGCAACTGGACCAGAAATGCCCAGGGAAGCAGCAGATTCTGGTCTGCTTCGCCCGTGGGTGGGAGAGAAACGTGAACCCAGATCACAATGCACAGCTCAACCCAGGTTCCCCCGGGGGAGCCGAGCAGCTGGAGGCCCCATGGGTGCTGTTGGGGTCTGTGGAGCAGGTGGCTTCTCTACCAAGGGAAGGGAGGAGTGGCTGCATCCTCCAGTGTGTCCTGCCTGGGCCTGGCCCTTTATATTTAAGAAGGCTGCATGGTTTGTGGAGGGCAGAGACCTGAGCTGCAATAGCCAAGTAGACCCAGGCCCAGAAGGAACAAGGATTTGTCCCAGTGGGCTCTGTGTCTGACTCTGTGGACTGACCACAGGAAAGTAGGTAAGAGCAGAGTCATCAGCAAGGACGGAAGGGGAAGGGTGGTTGTGTAGGAGAGAAGGGGCTGGCCAGGTAGCCCCTGCGCAGAGTCTAGGCACCCAGGGGAAGGACACTGTGGGGTCAGGGAGGAGAGGGGAAGGACTGGCCAAGCTGAGAGGTGAGTGGTATTTGGGATGTCCCTAGAACTGGAGGTCAGGGTGTGGGTGGGCTAGCACAGAGGCCCTGCAGAGGCAGATGTGAGGCCTGGTGAGTAGAGAGGCCAGTAGGGGACAGAGGCTGAGGAGCAGGTGCTAATGCTGAACAGAAGGGACGTTAGCCAGAGTCGGTACTGGGCAGAGGTCAGCTTTCACGGGGACACGCAACCCAGACAGGCAGGGTCACCCACCTGCTGCTGGCGGGCAGGGGTGTGTTCCTGTACCTCACAGGGTTTTCTTACCCGTGACATGGGCCCATGGGTCTTCCCCAGCTCATGGGGGCTGCAGGAGTGTCCCCCACCAGCAGGTGCTGAGCCCTGATAGTCTACAGCTATTTCCCATCAGCCACCTGTCTGCACCCAGCCCCCCACACAACTCATATCCTCACTTGCCTCTTCTGCATTCCAACTGTGGACCCAGAAGGTGTCACTCACTTTCCTTTCCCTCTCAGTGGCCCCCAAGATGGCCTCCTCCTCTGTCACACCTTCCAGAACAATCCCATCAGCTTCACCACCTCCTTTCATCCCAAGATCTGAAGCCCTTTATAACCACAACATTTATATAGAAAGAGGCCAACCTCAATATCTCCTTTGATGGGTGGGGAAACTGAGGCACAAGACAAGGGGGCAGTCCAAGGCCCAGGACTGGGGTCAGTGCAGTGTAAGTAGGGGATTTCCCCATGGTCAAAGCTAACCTCTAGCTGTCCAGAGCTGTGGGAGGGGTACAGGAGGGCCTTTCTTGGTGACTTATGACTGAGGAGTGTGCCTTTGTCCCACCCACAGTGACTAACCACACCCAGAGCCAGGCAGCCCTCCAGCCTTCACACAGCTGTGGGGTGCACTTGTCCCCCACACGTGTATGAGGGCAGGAAGGCCTGGCTGTTTGCTCCACTTAGAATCCACCTCCCATCCACACAGAGGCCAAGGAGGTCCCTCCAGGACCTGCTGTCCCTCAGTGAGGACTCCCCCCTCAGGCAGCCTGAACTCCTGGTCCCCTAAGCCTGCCCGGACAAGAGTCACACCCAGCCCTGCCCTCCCCTTCCTTGATGGAAACCAAGGCTCCGTGGGGGTGTTCCTGGCCACAGCCTCCCTGCCCACCCCTGGGAGGCTGTCCTCCTGAAAAGTCCCAGCCATGCCCATCCCCGCACCCAGAGCAGCAGGGTAGGAGGAGGAAGTGGACTTGGCACCAGGGTTTGCAGGGGCGGGCACCGGTATAACTGGTTTGGCCCAGCCTAGTGCTCGGGGCAGGAGGCCTAGCCACCAGAGGAGGCTCCTGAGCCCAGAGCCACTTTGCACACACCAACGTGTGGGGTTTCTTCTGACTCATGGTCCTGAGCCCCAGCACCTCACAATCTGGAGACTGACTTGGGGAGGGGCCCCAGCCATTAGCCCTGGGGACCCAACTGAGGTCTGTAGAGCCTTGCTGGGAGCCTGCCTCTAACCTTCGCATCCTCGACCAGGGCACAGAGCCAAAGAGGAGACCCGCCTGTGGGTGGGTAGGGCCGCTTGTGAGTTAGAGTGCCTGTCAACGGGGGCACAGTCCCATGGACAGGATACCCTGGTTATTTCAAGGAGTAACGGTGACCAGAGGCAGGCCGATGGGGAAAAGCTCCCAAGAGGAGAGGGAGGCTATCATCAGCATTGAGCACAAAGCCCTTTGGTCTACAGTGGCGTGCAGGCCCTTTCGGGGGCAGATGCGCTGTGGATGCCGTAGGTGGCCGAGAGACCAGACCCAGGAGGGAGTGAGCAACTCAAGAGGGTCAGATCCCTGTTCTCTTGAAGATGGAGCCAGCAAGCTTACTGAGGATAGGTGTGTAGTTAAGGAGACACCAGACCTGTGTGGTTTCGACACCACCATGACACATCCAGATTCAATACTGAGGGCCATAGAAGTGGCCCCAGCTGTGTAGATCTGAAATACAAAGCTGTTATTAGCAAACTGGTCAAATCTGTGTGGTGGCACTCAGCCTCAACAGCGTCACCTCCTTAGAGCTGAGGCCGAAGGTCCCATGGGGCTGAGACCAGGGGACTACGGGGTCAAGCCTGAAAGAAAGTGCTCCCGGGTCACAGCAAAAGAGCTCTCTCACCCTCACCCATCCCAGTGAGGGTCAGCCTAGCCATGGCCATCTTGGAACCCCCAGAGGGCTCTGCCCATCCACAAGGCCCAGGAATTTGAACAGGCCTTCCACCAGGGCCGATGGAGATGAGTTGGACCACAGACCCTGAGGGTCAGGCTGCTCTGAGATAACAAAGGCCACCTGCTAGCCCTCCTGCCTATTAAGTGGTCATTGTGACTCCTGCTTGGAGCCATACTGAGGGCGTATCACCTATTGACAGCGAAACCTATCTGGTCCCTGAGGCCTTGGAACATAGGCCTCTCTAGGTCAGGAGGGTCCTTCACCCCTCGAGGCCCCGGGCAAGAAGAGACTGGTAATTTGGTTGGAGGCCTGTATCACAGCAGAAAGCAGAAAATAGGGGCTGGGAGGCACTAGGTCAAGAGGCTTCAGGACTTCTTTCTAGGACCGTGGAAGCCAAAGGGAACTGTCAAGACCACCCCACCCGCAGGATTTGATTTCAGATACGCTCTAGCCACAGGGCTCACATGAAGGGTATATGCGGGTCAGGTGGGGCAGGTGGTTTCTCCCTGAGCCCCAGGCTGGATGTCCAGTGGCGCTCTGGAGTCACCTGCCCTGCAGGCGACCAGCGAGTATGTAGCCAAAGGCCCTTCATTGCACCTACATGCCAGTTTCTGGCAGAAGGGATCTTGACTCTACTGTCCCCTCTCAGGGTCTCTGAGCCAGTGGACAGGGGTCCAGTGAGGTGACAAATTCTCACCCTAGAATGGAGTGGGACCCCAGAGAGCACTGGACAGAGACAGGGTCGGGCAGAGGGACAGGGCCACTGGGTCCAAGTGGAGGAGGCGGAGGACCAGGGCTGCCTTCAGTGTCAGTCAAGACCTGGGGACAAGGAAGAAAGAGTAGTCACTACTGCTTGCCGAGCTATGGCTTGGTGTCAGGCCTCCTGGGACAGGCTCCAGGACAGGACAGCCAGGGGTGCAGCGGCTAGGGCTGTGGGTCCAGTCTTCATCTGCAACCAAGGAAATGAAGTCACTCTGTCGGTAACCAGGGAAGACAGAGGAGCCATGTCCTCGGAGGCCTCCAGCTCCCTGACAGAGGGGTCCAAGCACCCACCTGTCTAGTTTCCCGTCCATCCACTGGGTGGAAAGAAGTTGGGAGAGGGACAATGGAGTCTTGGCTCAACTTATGGGCTGGTGAGATGATTCAGCGGGTAAAGGCACCTGCTGCCAAGCCTGACAACCTGAGTTCGATACCTATGACCCCCCCACACACACACAGTAAATAAAATTGTATTTTAAAAAAAACTTGAGCTGGGTGTGGTGGCACAGGCCTTTAATCCCAGCACTCAGGAGACAGAGGCAGGCAGATCTCTGTGAGTTTGAGGCCAGCCTGGTCTAGCCACATAGTGAGTTCCAGGCCAGCCAGGGCTACATAGTGTCAAAAAAACAAAATTACTGTTATCTCTGTGAGCCAGAGATCTATGCTTTGTGTGTGTGTATGTGTGTGTGTGTGTGTGTGTGTGTGTGTGTGTACATGTGTGCAGGTGCCTGTTGAGGCTGTTGGATCCCCTAGAGCTGGAATTACAAGGGGTTGTGAGCCTGGGTGCTAGGAATAGCAAGGCCTCTTACTATTGAACCATGTCTCCAGGCCCCCAATTTCTTTTATGACTTTCATCAGTGTATGGGGTGGGCAGGGTGTACGTATGCCACAACTCCCTTGTAGATACTCTCCTTCCACCATGCAGATTCTGAGGATCAAACTCAGGATGCCATGCTTGGTGACAGGCACCTTTACCTTCTGAGCCATCTTGCTGACCCAAAGAGTTTCACCTTTCCCTATGGCGGTGGGTAGTACTGGGGATTGAACTCAGGGCTTTGCATGCGTTAGGCAAGCACTTACCACTAACCACCCCCAGCACTGACTTTCCTTCTTGACTTTATAGCGTTTTGTTTGGGGGGAGAGTTCTGAGTAAGGAGAGAGTGACACCCCATTCCCTAGACAGCAGCCTACTTGGGTTCTAGGGGATCTATAGATCCTGCTTCCCCCCACTCCCAACACACACTCCGGGACCCTCCAGAGTCCCCTGGACCCCAGGCCCTGAGTTCCCAGGGCAGCACTAGCCTTTGATTCCTTGGTCACCACTCAACAGACAGACAGGATCCAAGAAAGATCCTGGGGCCCTGCCACCAACCGTCACTTGTCACCAGTTTCCTAAAATAGCATCAAGAGTGGCCGCCTCTGCTCCTGCGTCCTTCCGGAGCATCTGACGAAGAAAGCAGGTTTTGTCCCCGTCTGGCCAGGCCTTTCGCAGTGACGTTGGAGCCTCAGCGGCCAGAGGCCAGAAGAAAGGCCCTTCTCTCCGAGGCTAGCCACTGGGAAGGGTGTCCCTCCTTACATCACCCATCACTTCCTGCCTGCCCTCTGGGGTTGGTCCAGTGCTCCCTGATCTTCCCTGCTGCTGGCCAAGGAAGGGGCCTGTTGGGGGAATCACAGAAGTCAGAACTAGATGTCCTGCATCCTGGAAGTGGATGTGGGAGCAATCGCCTTGGGTGTATAGGGGATATATATTAGCGCACGATGAAGAGAGCTGTTGAGGTCTGGCATCTGTTGGTGGCCCTGCTGGCTTCCATGGTCCCTTCCTGCCTGGGGGTATGTGCCAGAGTTCTAACTGAGGTACCCTGTGTGCCCATGCATTCATATAAATGCCTGTGTGTATATGTGTATTTTGTATATGTACCCTTTTTCTGCACATGCCTGTGTATGCATGTACATATGTACACGCACCTATGGCTGTGGTGGGAAGCAGCACGGGTGGCTAATGTTGGCCTTGTTTGGGGCTCAGGGGCTCTCCCAGGACCCTAACCCTCATTCCTGCCTGTCCTAAACCCTGAACATGGCAGGTGTGGGATACTGGTGAGATCCAAGGCAAGACCTTGGCTGTCTATGTGGACAGCTGGTCACATTTACCTTCTGGACTGTCAGTACAGGGTCCAGCCTAGGCTCACCTGCTCACAGGGTCTAGTTTAAGCATGTAGTAAAGAGCATCCTGCTGAAACCAGAGGCCCAGAGGACCGGGCACTGGCTGGGGAGAAGAGCCCTCACAGAGGGTATAGAAGTTCACTTACCGAGAAAGGAAGGATGTTCCAGCCTGGGCCCTCAGCCAGCTCTGAGAAGCTCCTCTCTCATAGGAAAAGGTGGGCTGGGCCCTGGAGGACACAGTGCGGTCAGAAGGAGCAGCCCCCAAGTGCCCACGTTCCCGAGAGGAACAGGCTGCTTCTGGAGGTTGTGAGCTATTTGGTGACTCACCGTGAGTACAGCCTCTGACTCTGTCAGGCACCGAGATGACTTACAGAACGCACTAGGAGCCTAGAACCACCAGGCCACCAGAACCCAGCCCCTGTGTGCCCCACCTTCTTGGAAGTGGGGAGGGTCTTTTACGGGGAGGAGAGACCACTAAATGCCCAGCCTGTCCGCACTGGTGAGGGGACACTGCACCTGTTGCCAGATCTCTGAAGCTGTCCTTAGGACCTCCACAAACTTATCTACCCTGGGCTCCACCCCAGCAACCCTCCTGAACACACGTGCTGCCCCCTCCCACCCACCCACCGACCTTCAGAGGCTGTAGTACCCGCATGCTGGAGCAAGTTCATCTGATAAATGCGCTTTGAGGACTTAAGTGGCGGGGACTGGAACTGCACACTTTTGGCAAGCGAGGCCTTACTAGCACTGAAGGGGAAGTGGGAGGGGGCGCTTCACAATGCGGCCTTCAACTACACACCGCATGACTCAACTTGTGTCCCCAGGATCCAGTGTCCTGCCATTGTGGCTCTCATAACCACCCTCCTAGGAGCCGGCCTCAGCGTCACCTGTATCCCCGCTAACACCAAGGAAACCAGTGTCACTGCGCAGTCCACCCCTCAGGGTAAGTGCCGCATGCCGAGGCTGGGCCAGCGAGATGAACCTTGCTCTGGTGGTTTGTGCTCTGGAGCCTCTGTGAGCCTGTGAAGGAAGGGGTGGGGTTGGGGATGAGGTCTTCCAGCCAAGGGACTCAGGAGACGCAAAGGGGAGCTGAGGGCCCCCCCTTCTTGCCTCCCTTGTGCCCCTCTTGCCGCTGATTCCTTGAGGGCTAAACTGGGCAGGCCAAGGACGCTCCAGGAAGATAGCCCAGAGGAGCCGGACCACCCAAGAGACACAGGGTGGGGCAGGTAGACTCCAGTGTCCTGAGCCACATAAGTGTGCTGGCCCAGTGAGCAGCTCTGGGGGCACTAAGGTAGGGGTACAGTGTGGGCCAGGTTGACTCCTCAGAGGGGTCCCGTCAGGGTGCCCCAGCATGGCTGCAGCCTCTGTATGCCTGTACAGAGCAAGACTCTCTCTGCCCAGTGTCTGAGATGGAGTCCCACCTAAGAGACTCCTTGGGACAAGAGGCTATGACACAACAAGTTGGAAAGAGGCAAGAGGGGGCCCTGGGGGACAGCCAGGTGCAGGCAGGAGGCTGAGCACGGTACCTGACATGTCTAGGGGCTCAGGTCATGCCTCCCCCCGTGGTGGTCCCTCCGGCTGGGCTGGGAGCAGCTGCCCTGCTCATGTGGGTTGAAGATCTAGGAATTCTCTGGCTCTGGCCCAGGTCTAGCAGGTTTACCTGAGGGCAGGTGTACCTTTTCGTGAATGCCTTCTCCCCCTGCCTGGGATGCAGGGGTCCTGGGTTGGCCAAAGTGTAATGAGTGGGCCAGTGCTCCCCAGAGGCCAGGGGAGGTGTACTGCCAAAGCAGTGCTCAGCTGTAGGCCTGGGGGACGAGGCTGGCAGCCAGAGCCCGGTAGCCAGTGTTCTGACCGCTGTCTCCATGTGGCCAGGTGGAGCCAAGGCCAGTGTATTTGACCTGAAGGCCATCACTCGCCTACTCCTGCTGCCCGAAGTGCTGCCCATATTCCTGGTCAAGGTGATCTCTGGCTTTCCTTCTGGTGAGTCCCACTACCCCATCCCACTGGAACCCAGGGTCTGAGGTAGCTGGGAATCCCTGTGCTGGAGACCCAGGTCCAGGCTAGAATGCCAAACCTTCGCTCTGCCTGTGACTCTTTATTACCCAGTTGCACCTGTGTGGGCTCCCAGCACACCATCCTCTGAGAGGGACGTAGAGGGCTCAGACTTCCATGGTGTGCTAGCACAGAGGGAGAAGGAACGGGACGGTGTTCTCTGTGCTATGCTCTGGACCTTCATGCCATGGGCCCTTGTGGGTCACCAGCACAAGGCCTTGTTCACAGCCCCCCAACTCCTGCTAACCCTCCAAGTCTGGCCATCCTGGTCTGGCTTCCAGAGACAATGTGTAAATCTGGGAGGCGACCACCCCCTGGAGACTCGTTTGCCCTGGTCACCTGGTGAAGGGATACACAACTCCTATACAACTCCTATGGCCACGCTGCACAGCTTGGGATGTGCCATAGTAACCCTGTCACTCAGAGACCTGCCAGGGTCCCAAGTTTTTTGTGGTTTTTTGTTGTTGTTGTTGTTGTTTTGTGTGTGGTGGTGTGTGTGTGTGTGCGTGTGTGTGTGTGTGTGTGTGTGTGTGTGTTTTCTTTTGGGGAATGGAGCCTAGGGCCTCACAAATGCTAAACAAGTGCTCTACCACTGAGCTATCCCAGCACAGATGACCTCAGAGGCTCTAGGAGCCCAAAGGGCCAGTTCCTTCCCGAGCCTGAAGCCTTGTGGCTGTGCAAAACCAGCCTGAAGAGCCTTTAATCCAGTACTCAGGACGTAGAGACAGGCAGGCAGATCTCTGTGAGTTTGAAGCCAGCCTGATCTACATTGCAAGTTCCAGGCCAACCAGGGCTACATAGTGAGACCCTGTCTCAAAAACAAAAACAAAAAAAGTGGAAAATAAGACACCAGGTGTGCGATGCACCTCTAAGCCCTCCGATGCGGCCCTGCATCTGGGCTGGTAACAGAAGAGGGGCCCTGAGGGGGAGAACATGCTGGGCCACATGCTGAGGCACGGTAACCCAAAGGCCCTGAGAGATGTCACAACTCCCACAAAGCACGAAGGCCCTAGGCGGCTGCTGCCCTGTGGCTTTTCTCTGTTTTTAAAAACATTTTTTTTTAAGATTTCATTTCAGCTGGGTATGGTGGTGCATGCCTTTGATCCCAGCTTGTGGGGGACCAGCCTGTCTACATAGCAAGTTCCAGGCCAGCCAGGGCCTACACAGGGAGACGTTTTCTTAGAAAACAAGCAAAGAAATGAAAAACCAGGCTGAAGACAGCGTAGGGCTGGAAGGGGGCGCAGGGATTCTGCCTTTCCCCGCCAGCTGGGACCAGACGCGCCCTCCCTCTGCCCACACTTCCAGGTCAGATGTTTCCCTTGCAGTGACTGGAACCAAACACTTCTTCCCTCTAGATGACAGGGGTCTCCAAGGGTCTCTCCATGATAGAGGGCTGTTCCCCATCACAGCCTGGGTCCCTTCCTGGCACTCGGTAGCTCACAGGTGACCACTTAGCAGCAGCACCTCAGGGTGCACGTTCAGTGTCAAGCGGCTGATAGGATCTTAGCTGCTGTCACATGCCCTCCCTGGCTGGGCAAAGCCCCTGCCCAGGACATGGAGGTGGGGTGGGTGCCATGGTAGGGCCTGGCACACGCGCTGACCTGCCCTTCTGCACAGGGCTCTTCATAGTCATGTTCTCCATCATCTCCATGGACTTCTTCCAGCTGGAGGCCGCACAGGCTGGCTACCTCATGTCCTTCTCCGGGGTCCTTCAGATGGTGAGTGCCGTGTGCACAGGGTGGGGGCTAGATTTCCCAGCAGCGCTCTATAGCCCCTGTCCTGACTTCCTGCTCTCTGGGGGCTTCTGTCTGAGAGGGAAGGAGTGTCTGGGGAGGCTGGCTTCCCAATCCAATCCTGGCAGGGACCAGGAGCAGTGCGGTACACACAGGGGCACTGAGCACAAACGCCACCAGAAGGGACTCAGGACCCTAGATGTGGGCATGGTGGGGTCTGGCAGGCTCTGGCGAGGCCCTGCTGCTGTCCTCCCTAGCTGTGTGACGTAGCAAGTTTCCAGAGTCAGAGTCTTCATCTCCTTCATGATCAAATGATGCCAACCATGGCACATGTCCCACAGGGTGGCTGAGGGATGTCTGGGCATCCCAGGATCCTCTAAAGAACACAGTCACTATGGCATGCTGTCCTCATAGGGTGCCAGGAGCCTCTGGCTGCTTGGGGTCAGGGGTACCTTTGGGGCAGACTTGGGGTGGGCGGATTATCTTCTCAGCCAGCACCTCAGGGCCCCCTGGCTCCCAGTCCAGGGTCATCCTGGTCCAAGCCAGCCACCCCTCCCCAGCTCCTCCTGGCATATAACCAGGCCCTGGGTAGCAAAGACAGGTGGTGACATGCCACCATGGCCCAGGGCGACTGCCTGACAGCCGGCAGAAGGGGCTATTCTGGGCCTATTGGGGGAGGGGTCCGGATCTCTCCGGAAGCTGGCGGCATTCCTGGCACCTCTGAGCCATCTGCTCCCCGTGCCTCCAAGCCCAGGACTGGCCTACACCCTGGTGCTAAAACAGCTGCTCCAAGGAGGGGCCAGTTCCCCACCAAGAACAAGGAAGGCCTCTGTGCTGTGCCAGCCAGAAGGGGCCACCTTGGCAGGGACAAAAAATAAACAATAAAACCAACAACAATAGTACTGCCCCATGGTGGGCAGAACTTCATTATAAATGGGTTGCTTGCTGGGGAGTATGGCTCAGTTAGTGCTTGCCTAGTGTGCACAAACCTTGAGTTCCATTCCCAGTACATCTAAACCAGACCTGGTGAGCGTGCCTGTAACCCCAGCACTCGGGAGCTGGAGATAGAAGGACCAGAAGGTTGCGGTCATCCTTGGCTACATAGCAATTTCGAGGCCAGCCTGGAATATATGAGTCTCAAAACAAGCCAACCAACCAGACGTGGTGATGTATACCTTTAGTCTCAGCATTCAAGAGGCAGAGGCAGGTGGATCTCTCTGAGATCAAGGTCAGCTTTGTTCTACATAGTGAGTTCCAGGGCAGTTGGAGCTACAGGGAAACTGATTCAAACAAACAAAAAGTAAACAAATAAAGACTAACAAGTAATTAACAGGCTCCTGGAACCAGTCCATATCAGCCTGGGGTCAGCGGAAGTCCAGACCCCCCAAGACCCTTCGAGACGGATACATCAGTGCTGGGCTTGTGGTCATGGTCACCTGGAGCTGTGGCATAGTCAAGAAGTTAGGGTGGTGATTTGGGATTGTTGTAGAAGCCTAGGAATCTAGTACAGGCTAAGGTGGAGAGGAGAGACAGGAAAGCAGGTAAACCAGAGCCCTGAGCCCCAAAGCCAGTCAGGGGTAGGTGGAGCTGTGCCTTTGGGTAGAGGGTAAGGTAAGGCTGAGGGCCAGGCAAATTCCAACCCCACCAGGAGTGTGAGTCATTGCCCAAAGTCCCCAAGAACAGAGGCACTATGTCCCCTGAAAACTGTTTCCTGTCCACTCCATGTGCTCCTTGCAGAGTCCCAGGTAGGAGCCCGGTTCCCAGGGGTGGGGATGCTGGGGAGCAACTGAGGTTGTCCTAACAGGATCAGAGTCATGACAAACTTGCAGATCTATGTTCACTAAAGACCCTTCAAGAGAGACTCCCAGGGTAGCCCTGCCACCTGACTGTCACCCAGAGCTATTCTAAAGCACTGAGGAGGGGCCGTGTATGGCACCGAGGCAGGGGCCGGGCAATGCTAAAACAGACCTTGCATGAGGTGGGGAGACCTCTGTGAAGGGGAGGGGTGGAGAGCAGCAGCAGAGAGGGCTAGCAAGAGAAGGCAGCTAGGGGTAGGGCTATGCTCCCCATCGGGGCAGAGATCCTGACAGACAAGACCAGGCTATGCTGACATCAGGGGGAAGGGGTCTGCAGACTTACTGGGCGTGAGGGGGAGTGTGTATCTGAGAAGAGGCTCAGACTGCTAGGTCGTGGGGCAGATGCAAGAGCAGGGTTACCTTGGAGCCCTGGTTAAATGACCATCTGGAGAAGCAAAGGAGGGGACAGATGGGACAGTTGAGGGACAGTGACCTTCTTGGCTGGTTGGCTAACCTCACCGTCTTAGCTGATAACAGTAAAAGCATGCACGGCATCTCAAGGCTCATTTCCAAGTTAGAAGTTGAGACAGAGGCAGGTTGCATCAAGATGTAGGTCTCAGTGGCCAGGGCCTGGAGTTAAATGTTTCCTGGTGGTGTGAGTCTAAAGCCAGTCTGGGTAGGGTTCATTTTTCTGAGACACTAAAGGTTCTGTAAGAAGCAGCCAGCTCTTCCAAGTAGAAGTGAGGAACGTGGCTTGGCTCCAGTTCTGGCCCTCACGAACCCTAATAACCCATGACCCCAGCAGCCTGCCAGCTTCTGACTTGTGGCTGCACTCCTGGCCTTTAGCCCTGCACACTTCCTTCCTGGTAGAGATGGGCACTTCCTCTCTGGGAGGCCAGACGAGGAGGCTCACCTTGGGCTGTTGAGTCATATCCCTGATGTGCTTTCTCTTTCCTGTCTAGCAGAGAGGAGCCATCGCCACATGGACCTTGTGACTTTCTGGGGACACGCAACTCAGCCTTCTGCCCCGGTTGCATACCCTGCTGGGGGCGGGGGTACCCGCGAGGGCCATGGTCTACACTCACTCCCCTCATCCCATCACTCTCTCTAGGTGGTCCAGGGCCTGGTCATCGGGAGACTGAGCATCCGCTTCTCTGAAGAAGCCTTACTTCGGGCCAGTGTGGTGGCCTTCACTGTGGTGGGGCTGGGCATGGTGAGAACACCTGACCCTGGGTTGCCCAGAAAAGCGGCAGGTCCCCAACCCATGCCCTGTGTGTGCCTGAGCCCCCCCCCAACCCGCCTGCCTCAGGCCACATCACACCACCCCTCCTCCCCGACCCAGGCTACCCCCAGTGGAGAGTTACGGGTGGAACCTCTGGGTGAGCCACCGACTGGCCCTGTGCGGGTCTCCGCTCAGCAGGGCCCTCCCTGACTTTACCCTGCCAGGCTCTGATGTCCAACGTTCTTCACTTCTGTTTCCTGATGCCCGGCCTAATGTTCAGTCTCTGCACCCTCAACGTGGTCACCGATAGCATGTTGACCAAGGCCGTGTCGGCTTCAGACACCGGTGAGCTGTGCCCAGGGGGAGGGTGGGGGTGACAGGAAAGAAGATCCATGATGCCAGGCCATGGATCTCCCACGGACTAGGGGAGGAGGACTCTCTGGAGAGGAGGGAGGGCCTGGGAGGAAAAGCAGGCCGAGCCACCAGGGTCACGTCATACCTGCAGCACCACCCCTCAGCTTGGAAGGAGCAGAGCCTAGTCTGCCTGGGAACAGGAGCTACAGAGGGGGCGGTAATTGCCCGATGTCTGTTAGTGTCTGCAGGCGTGTGGGCAGTGAGAGAGGCTGCTCCTGAGTTTCCCCACAGCAAGCCCTGAGTGTGGGTGGGGCCTTACAGGCCCTTGTTCTGGCCAAGTTTAGAGCCTCTGTTCAGATGCCCCGGCCAATGAACAGCAGAGTTTAGCTACCTTCCAAAGCAGAATGGAGCAAGTGTGTCCCCCCACTGGAGACCTGGGATGGGCGGGATGGTCACGCTGAGCTTTTGAGTGCTGCCTCCATTTGCAATGGTTAACTAATGTCCCTGTGTGGGCATATCCTCACTAGAACAGCTGACCAGAGGTGCACAGATATGGGCTCACATGCCCAGGCCGAGGACACTGGTGTCCCTGAGGCTGAGAAGGAGGCTTGTCTACTGAGGCTCCCTGTAGCCCTGCCCGAAAACTCAGAGGTTCCATTGAGTCTACAGGGATGGTGGGGGGAGGGGCAAGAAGCAGAGGGGCCTTGCGGGAGGCTCTAGGGGTACCATATCCACCCAGAACCCCAACCATAGAACCCCACACTGCCTCAGAGGACCTTCCCTGGCAAAATCCACTCTGACCATCTCAGTCCCCAGTGGGTAATGTTTAATAGAGCCTTTGGCCCTGGGAGAGTGTGTGAAAGCCAGCACCCCGGATGTCCTGGGTGGAGTTCCCCCATGCAGATCACATCTACCCTGGCCGGCCTGGAAGGGCGTGGCCTACTCGACCTATGGCCCCTTTCCCAGACTCCTCCCTTGTCTTGGAAATTTCTGGAGCAGGAAGGAGGCTCAGCCCCAACCCACACCCCTCAATATCCCAGGAAGCCCACCCCGTGGGTGGAAGGTGCGGCACTTAATGTGGGGGGAGCGGGATTCCATGCTGGAGGTGAGGGACAGCGGGGAGGATGGATGGGAGCTCCAAGCAGTGTTTCAAGCAAGGAAGGTTGGATGGGCAGGAAGCCAAGCTGTGAGGCCAGAAGGTAGGTGGCCTGTCCAGAGACCTGCCCAGGGCCTGACTACCATCCCCCATTTCTCCCAGGGACCATGCTGGGCCTCTGTGCCTCTGTGCTTCCACTGACCCGCACTGTGGGCCCCACCCTGGGTGGCCTCCTGTACCACCACTTTGGCGTCTCTGTCTTCGGCTCCATACAGCTTGGGGTGAACTTGCTGGTCCTCCTGGTCCTCTGGAGGAAGCCATTGTCCAAGAAGGAAAACAAAGCCCAGTGACCTCGACCCTGGCACAGAGGCAATAAATTCTTTCACATCTCTTCCTCCTGAGTTCTGTGGGTTCGGCCTAGGTCTGTGGGTGGGAAACCTGGGGATGAGGGATGGAGCCAGACCAGATGGCTTCCTGGAGGGGCTGCGGCAGGGCCAAAACTCCAGGGAGGACAAACTGGCCCAGTGTTGTCCCACATCATTAATTGAGCCCTGGAGTCTGCCAACATGGCCAGTAAGGGATCCTCCAGTTCTAGTATGAGGTAGCCCTTACAGCTCTAGTGTGCCCAAGAAGCTGAGTACTCTCAGCCCACCCACTGCCACCCCCAGCCCAGGGTCAACCCCCTGTGAGGAGGAATAGGTTGGTTTAAAAGACAGGGAAGGGAACTGGTGGCGTACTTCCCTAGCACAGGACCTGAGTTCAGTTCTCAGTACCCATGCTGGGCAGCTCACAAATGCCTGCAAGTCCAGCTCCAGGGGAATCCTACTCTTCTAGCTTCTGAGGGCACCTGTACACACGTGCATGTACCCAACACACACACACACACACACACACACACACACACATCAATGGTACTTAACATCAGCCTCTGGTCTTCACATGCACACTCACATTCATCAGCACAAACATACACACAAACACACATATATACAAACCCCCACAAAACCTTAGCCTGATTCCTATAGGAATGGGAAGTAATTAGTTTAATTTGATGAGTAGTCTCTAAAGAAATTTTATAGGTGCTGGGGAGATGATTCATCAGTTAAGAGCACTGATTGGTCTTAAAGTCACT